ATTTATTTATTTATTAAATTTATATACCGCCCTATCTCCCTTACGGGACTCAGGGCGGTGAACAGGCGATACTAAAAACCACGATAATAAATAAATAGTTTCTGTTCTAAAATCGAATTAAATAACAGGCCTGTTCTAAAAACACACCCATACAAAAAACCCCACTGAAACATAATCAAACTACGCCAGGCCAGCCGCACGGAATAGATGGGCCTTCAGGGCTCAGCGAAAAAGGCGCAGGTTATAAAAACACAAAACTTCTAGAACCAGTGTAATCTAAATTTTTCTGGCTAGATTTATGAAGCCACCTCAAATCATTCTTCAAGGCCCTTGATGTGTTTACTCAATCTGGATTAGGTTTTCCTATACTGCTTAAGATAGTAACTGAAAATAAATTATGGAAATTTGGCCCAACTAGTTCTTACAGATTAATTTAATTGTTTAGGGGGAAAAACATTTTTTTTTTCTTTGCAGCCTATCAGTTTAAACACTAAAAATAATGAGTCTGGACAAAGCTATCTCTGAGACCATACAACATATCCTTAGACTTCAACAAAGACTAACAGATCCAAAGTCCCAAATTATGCTTCCAAATGACCTTTTCTGGAAATTTTCATTCGCAAACAGGAAGGCACTTACATTACACTGTTTTAGTACTTAATCCTCCAGGAAGTAGAGAATAGAGGGATAGTTCAGCAACATTTTCAGTCTAGAACAGTGTTCCTCAACCTTGGCTATTTTAAGATGTCTGAACTTCAGAACCCAGAATCCCCCAGCCAGTATGTTTAGCTGGGAATTCTGGGCGTTGTAGTCCAGACAGCTTAAATTTGCCAAGGTTGAGAAAAACACTGATGATGTTATCAGAGCGACATTGTCAAATGTGGCTTATCCAGAGCTCACCTTTATTTTATGAAATCTGTATCTCTACTCTGTTGTTCTATTTATTAAAAGCACTTTTTATTGTTGATTTGCAAAAATAAAAAAAATATTAAAAAGCAGAAGAAATTAATTCAATAATAATTAAATTAAAACTAGTTTCATTAAAATCAGTGAACAATTAAGTGCTTGGAAATAAAAAAATGTGTGCCATTTTCCTAAATATTGAGAGAATGGGGACCAAACAGACATTCCTGGGGAAAGTCTTCAGTAACTTGGGAGCCTCATGTGGAAAGAGGTACCAAATACCCGAGCTTCTTCAAAAAGGATCTATTTTGCTGATCTGAGCAACCATCTACTTCAAGGGTCTTCAAACTTGGCCCTTTTATGACTTGTGGACTTCAACTTCCAGAAGACTTGTGGACTTCAACTGCCAGGCACGCTGGCTGAGGAATTCTGGGAGTTGAAGTCCACAAGTCATAAAAGGGCCAAGTTTGAAGACCCCTGATTTACTTCATACAAGCAATAAGGTCCTTCAATTATTCAGTTGCTCAGGCATTTATGGCTAGGGTCAACACCAACACTTTAAACTGTGCCCCAAAGGTGCATTTCAAAATGCAACTGGACTTTCTTTGCTTTTTCTTTGAAAACATTTCACTTCCGATTGAATGGTGGGGAATATTATATTATTCCCCACCATTCAGTCAGAACTGAAGAAGCATCTTGGATGAGAAGTGAAACATTTTCCAAAAAAACAAAACAAAACAGAGAAAGTCCAGTTGCCTTTTGAAAAAAAGCACCTTTGGGACAACCATGACCTGCATGAGGGAGAATCTCTATAGACCCTTTAAATTGTGCTTTGTGGATAATAGGCAGCTTGCACAGACCTTTCTGTAGATTTATCACATGATCCCTGCTCTGTGCACTCATCAAGAGGTCGGCTAACAATTTTTGAAGCCGTGTGCACTCCTTGCACCATTTTGCACCATCTGCAGTGCACTACAGTTTGTCAGCCTGGTTATCTTCTTTATCATCAAGCCCATTCCTGACAAGGCCATACTGGACATTAGTAACTGCAGTGGCTTTCTTGGAATTTGATGGAAAGGAGGAGCAGAGCTGGGAGCCATTAGAAGGTTGATGGCATCCTATATATATGGTTGGAAAGCTACCTATTAAACAAGCTGCCAGTAGGCCTCGACCTTTGACTATAATTGAGCCCAAAAGTTATGCTGCTAAGTGAGACATTTGTTAAGTGAATCATTGAAATTGTTAAGTTAGTAACCCTCCTGTTAAGTGAATCTGGCTTTCCCATTGATTTTGCTTGTCAGAAAATTGCAAAAGGGGATCACATGACCCCAGTGTCATGACACTGCAACCGTCCTAAATGTGAGTCAGTTGTTAAGCATCCGAATGTAAATCACGTGGCCATGGGGATGCTGCAACGGTCGTAAGTGTGAAAAACAGCCATAAGTCACTTTTTTCAGTGCCGTTGTAACTTTGAACTACCTGTATTTGTTTAGTTGAGAACTACCTGTATTTGTTACCAAATGGGTAAATACACATGAAGAGCCCATGAAAACGATTCTCTGCTAAGGAGTCCAACAAAAGCTCTTCTATTTTTATTTTTATTTTTTTTAAAAAAGGTATAATTTATATGGCATGTATATATGGATATTTTAATATTACAAGAATATGCAAAAGAACTGTGGAGACAATCTTTCAAACTGATAGAGCTTCTTTCTTATTCAAATGATTATAATATATTCCATCTTCTGGGGGGGGGGTGAAAAATTAAAAACTTACCACACTCCTTATTATCGTCTGTAAAGAAAAAAAACACAAAAATAAGTGAAAGTCATTTGTAGCAAATGCCTTTAAGAGAAAAAATATCGTTTTATTTAATATTAATATTTTTGGATTTACACATTCATGTACACATTTCATTATGTTCTGGTTGAGAGGAGGGAGATTAAATAATATGTTGCATTGCTTAATAGAATTATTTCATAATTTCATGAAAACAGTAATTGGATATTCAGCATCTGGCTATATTTAGGATGTGGCTCATAAACCGTGCTAAAATGATCTGCCCAATTAATGACATCAGACTTCAGCAGACATCAATCATAGCTTAATTTCAGAATATAATTTATCTCTGAGGTTTCAGTAGATACCTCAGTAACTCTTGGTTGTATCAGACATCCCCAGACCCTTATATTGGATAAGGTGAATTGGACTGCTCCAAGCAGTTGCAGAGTTTGTAACAGCTTCACAGTTATTAAACTAAACACAGGTAATCTTCAACTTCAACCACCAGAATTGGGACTGTAATTTATGTTGTAAGTCACTACGATCAAGTTGAGTCACCCCATGAACAGACTCAATGTTATAAAATTGTTAGAGTGATGTAAAGAGAATCACATGGTCACAGCTTCCCCAATGGGGATTTTTTTGCCATATTTGATCAGAAACTGCCCCCCCAAAAAAGTTGTATATTGCGATCACATTGCAACTGGTTGCATAGAGAGTCAGTTGCCAAATGCCCAAATTATGATCATCTGATTGCAGGGGAGGGTGCAGCCGTCATAAGTGTGGGTCCAGGTCATAGGTCGCTTCTTATGAGACTGTTATAACTTTGAACCATTGTTAAACAAATTCTCATTAAGTTGAGGACTTCCTATAGCTGGGTAATTGCCCAATACGCTACTCAAACAAGCATATAAAGTGTAACCATACTGTAATCTTGCCTTCTGCAAACTTCAGAAAATCTTTTGCCAAACATGCATCAGAGTTGACCAGAGTTTAGTTACTATGTATGCAATATTGAATGGGAGCCAGATAATAAATATGTCCTCCACCCTCTTTTTTTTCAGAACGTTTTCCAACACTGAGGAAATTAAACATGCTCAGAATCTTCATTAAGGTTGTGGCACAGTAGGACATAGTTGTTGCTTTCTACTGTCCTTGCTACACGAGGCAGTAACATTCCACCATCCTATAACCTCCTTCTATTACAGTGAAAGATAGACATCATAACATCACAGTGTAAATGCTCTGTGATGTGTAGTTATTGATAGGGAATAACCGGCTACTTTGGTGGAAAATGTATACTATACCAGTAAATTCTAATATAATACAAAGCCCCATTCATCTCCTGCTGTCATTCAACACTACATATACATTGTTCTGCTTGAGAAATTTTAGCAGAATTATGATGTACAGATCACAGTAACCTGCAGGGTAGACCATAGTGAACCAGTTTATCCTCAACTGGCCTCTTCCACTGACTCTGCTGACTATTTAACAGCAGCAATGGGGTTAAATTATCCTAGGAAAAAACTGCTCAAGCTAATTGAAGATTGAGATGCATAAGCAAGATCTTACTTCAACTTTCAGTCTTAAGACTGTACTTGAAACATATTTGGAAGCTTGTAAATCTCGCCCTCACAGTTTTTAATTGATGATTTCTGTTATAGTTGTCTGTGTAATCAATTGAGACCCATATAGCAATCATGCAGAAATGCACTGCCATTATTAGAGTAATCATAGGTTTGGATTGTCACAGTGCTCCTTCATGTTTTTGGAGATACATGCATGGGCATATCTTCATCCAGTGCAATAAAGCAAACTGCAAAGATCTAACCTAGTTGATTTGTCGAAGCGTAGTTAATTTTTCTTCTTAGCAAGCCTGAAGAGAGGGGATTTATTAGGATGGGAACTTTAAAAGGGGAGAGCAACCTTAATATTTTGTTTTTTCTTGAAGATGTTTCACTTCTCATCCAAGAAGCTTCTTCAGTTCTGATTGAATTCTTCAAAAGTTGCCTTTTGAAAAAGCACCTCTGGGACAACCATGATCTGGATGATTGAGTATTGCCATAGATACTTTGTTCTTTGTTTCATTTTGGATTTCTATGTAAAGATTGGAGAGGATGTTTTTTTTGCCATGGGCATTGCCAAAAACTAACCCATTCATTTCTCTTTGGCCATTGCAATTTCTAGACCATCTTCAAAGTCATTCCCAGTTTCAAAAAGCAGAATGCTTTTCAGTAAGCCACTTGTGAGGTCACTAGGATATGATCCATTAGGATTAAGCTCTCTTGGTCCAATTAGAGTCACAGCTGGTGCATAAACCGAACGTGGCCACAGGCCTCCCTTGCCACAAAAACCTCCCACCTGTTTTCTGAGAAGTTCTGGGGTTGTATGGCTGTTATGCAATTTGCAGCTTTATAATTGACAGAATTTTCCTGAATAAAAAATTTAGGAATCTATAAAAATCTTGTTTTTGGAGATTGATTCTATAGCAGATGCATGTGGATAAAAATCGTGATCAAGATTTAACCTTCAAATGAAATTATTTGACCCATACATGTTTTCATGGGAGCAAACACACTTTAAGATTATTACAATGCATTTTGTATGTTACATAAATGTAGTGGGGCTGCCCTTGAAGACTATGTGGAAGTTGCATTAGGTCTAGCATGCAGTGATATGGGCCATTATGGGGCATCTTGGTGTTCTCATATTAATTGCATGCCCTGTGAAGTTCCACTGGGTGGAATTCAAAGTGCTGGTTATCATTCAGTCATTCTTGGCACAAAACTGGATTATTTGTGAGACCATTTTTTGCCAATTGTTTCTATCAGTCTTGCTAAGTCTGATAGGAAGATCACAGTTTAAGTTCCCTCAATTAAATAATGCCAACTAATAGGATCTAGGAAGTGGACCTTTTTTTTTAGAGAGATTAGATAGACCCTGGCCCTGTCTGTCTTTTACAAACCATTGAAGATCTGAATGTCTTCCAGAGCATGGGAGACAGGAGGTTAGATGGCACATGAAATGATATTGATATTATTCCATATTTATTGGGGGGGCGGTTCTTAGCAACCATCATAGCTTTCTTTATTTCTAGTTTTCTGCATTGATTTTCATGTGCTGTTAGCTGCCTAGAATAGCATCTGCGAGGTAGCCAGCCATATAAATTGATTTAGTAAATAATCAATAAATATATAAAGTGCCACTCTAAGGGGAAAAAAACCCACTATTGTTTTATGGCCTATTTTAATGCCTATTCCTTCTTACAAAATTGTAATAGTACAATGAAATAATTATAATACTTTAAAATGAATTGGATACATATAAATAATTAGAGAGCTAGTTTGGCGTGGTGGTTTGAGGCACCAGGCTAGAAACCAGGAAAACATGGTTTGTAGTGTTGCCTTAGGCACAAAGCCGGCTAAGTGACCTTCGGCCAGTCACTCTCTTACTACCCTAAAATGAAGGCAAGGGCAAACCACTTCTGAAAATCGTGCCAAGAAAGCTCCAGTGATCTGTTTAGGAGTCAACGCTGAATCAGAAACAGCAAAAACAACAACCCCCTTATGAGTTTTAGCTCCTCATTCAGATTATAGGGCTGAATGCAGAATTCAGAAACAGTTTCTACACAATTCCCACTCAGTTCAGTCAACTTCTACAAGAAAAATGTTTTCGACAAATTTCAACTGTATTCAAAAACTTTGCATGCATAGTAAGTAAATGGGTGCAGGTTTGTCACCTATTGAGGTGGTGTTTGGAAAGGCTGAAGAGATGCTTGTTGTGGTGCCAGTGGTTGGTGTAAAGAAAGTGCTCCCATCATCTGCCAAGGAAATAAAGAGAATGTTAGCATCACATCCAGAAATAACTGCTAATATATTTCCCATCTAGGGAAACAATTTTAAAGTTTGAAAGGAAAGAAAATGTGCCGTGCTGCTTTTTCAAATCAAAAGTATAATCTTTTACACGCTACACATTACAATGTATTACATGCTACATGCAATCTACTGCACAATAACAGCTCCTAAATTCAACAGAGCTTCCTTCTGATTAGAAATGTATACAGCTAATGTTAATTTAAGGTGCAATCCTTCCCCTACTTAGTTGGAGATTATGACACCTCCCAGTGGTTGCAATCAGGGGTCATGATAAACAGTGGTCTGTCGTGATCTGGTCTGTAATCAGATTAGGCCCAAATTTGCCTTTTGGTGGGGGGTTTTTTTCACCCCCATGGCTTGCTGTACAAGGAACAAGCTGTTAAGAAATATGTCACAAACTTGATAGAGGAGCCATGAAGTCCTTAGAAAAGATATTTAGATGCCACAATATTTCTATACTGAAATATAAGCAGATTTGGGCAAGCTATATTAATTCCTGAATTCAGTTCCCTTTGAATGTAATAATACATTGATTTCAGTGCTACTGAATCAGTGATTTTCTGCCTCCATAGTACCACAATAGCCTATGCCAGGGGTAGGCAACCTTGGCTCTTTTATGACTCATGGACTTCAACTCCCAGAATTCCTGAGCCAGCATAGCTGGCTCAGGAATTCTGGGAGTTGAAGTCCATGAGTCATAAAAGAGCCAAGGTTGCCTACCCCTGGCCTATGCTAATTCATAAGACTTCCCCTTAATAAAATTAAAGGTCACACTGATGTTAGGGTTGGACAAGAAATAACATGCCACTTATGTTTTAATAATCAAATGTTAATCTCTTTCTGTCTTTAACTGTTTTGAAGGCTTTAGAGTACTTTAGTATCCTTTTAGCATTGGTAATTTTTTTTTAATTTATTCCTATTAAACATCTCAAAATGTTCTATGAATTTGAACCTTGTAATGTCTTTACAAAAAATAAGAAAATACTGGGCAGTGACCATGATAAATGTACTGCTGTTAATCTATGTCTAATCTATTAATATACTAATCTAAATATCACAAGGGCCGTGAAACCTTGTGATACTGTAATGCTCACTCTAGGTTTTGCAGACACAAAAACACACAAACCCCAAAGCATGTTTTCACAGCACGTTCAATCTTCCTGCAAGTAATTTTTAACTCACATAGATATGTGCATACAGTGACACAAACAGACACACAGACATACACACACACACACACACACACAGACACACACACACACACACACACACACACACATGTTGCTTGAAACTCTCAGGTGAGTTTAATCCATAGATTAAGAAGTCCTGCTTTCCATGGTCAGAGCATACAAAAAAGAACTTGTCACAGCTTAATCAGACAGTGCGCGCACAAACAGGTGCATGCATATTTTATAATATTTTATTTATTTGTCAAATTTAGATGCTGTCCATCTCACTCAGAGTCAGATACATAATGTTGCATATTGGCCCAAGCCAAGGCATAGCACAGGTGTCCCACTAATTGTTTCACTTATTGCTCCGCCAAGCAAATTATGTTAACTTTCCTGAATCTCAAAATTCTCAGGAGGGGGAGGAGGAGGAGGAGGAGGAGGAGGAGGAGGAGGAGGAGGAGATGGTTCTGAATATCATTTAACAGATAGAGCTAGCTGAAAGCTCCCTAGGGGTTCAGCCTTTCCCGATGCATAAAACAACGTAGACATAAGGCCAGCCTCTGCCTTGCTGAGATACATCACCTTCACCAATTTGTCCATGTATTTACCTCCCAGGCACTACAGAAAGAGCTGCTGCCTCATTTCCTACTTCATTGTATAGATCAGTGATGGCGAGCCTTTTAGAGACCGAGTGCCCAAACTGCAACCCAAAACCCACTTATTTATCACAAAGTGCCAGGGCTGCATCAGCATTGTGGTGCCCTCAGGGGGGGACATGGTCCACTGTGTGAGTGTGGTTGCAGTGATCATGACAGACTGGGTGAGCGTGGCCAGGGCCAGTCCCTCGCCATCTCCGGGGCATCCCCAGAGGCCCAATGCCTCTTGCTCACTCACTTCCTGCCCTGTCGCTTCCAAATGCCATGTGCTCGCTACTCTGGCGAAGTCTGCTGGGGCAACGGTGTGCGTGCCCACAGAGAGGGCTCTGAATGCCACCTCTGGCACGCGTGCCATAGGTTCACCACCACTGGTATAGATACATACATAAACAACCTTTGCAAGGCAGATACCATCCAGATGGGTAGTTCCCAGCATTCTCAGCATACCAGTCTCAGTCTATGGGAACTGGGAGAGTTATGAGTCTAACACATCCGAAAGGAGCCAGGTTGGGGATAGGTGACATAGAGACTGATCACTCCAGACCACAGAACTGACACCGTTACCAAATTTCCTGCATTGCCACACTGTATAATCAAGAATCCCAATAAAATGCTTCCAGCCCTATGGAATTCAACTTTGCAACATAGACGTAGAGCTTTCCCATGCAAATAGACAATGTTTACAAGGCATTATGACCCGAAATTCTCAGTTTCGTTTAGTTTCCTTATGCCTGAATCACTAAAGCAAACCTGAGATAGTGAGGGAAGCAGAAGTAGCAGTGAAAGCCACACTCTTTTTGCTAAGAGAGGTTTCAGTAAAATTAACAGCCTGAGAAACAGGAGGAGGTACTGTTTCGTTGGTTGGAGAACCAGCCTTTGCTTCAAAGGTGCTTGCGGGTGAGAATGGAGTGGTGCGTGAAGGTGTCAAGGAAAAGTCAGGAGTTGTTTTTCCTATGGAGGGTAGATAAGGAATGGGGAAAAAAACAGCATTATTGTGCACAGATTAAAAAAAAAATCCCACAAATTGATCTGGTTCACCCAGAAATGTATAAAACGCAGTAATGACCTGAGACCACTTCTCAGGGGCTTTATAATTAAACATTGCAAAACACAGCTCTACTCACCCATCCCTCATATTGTTACTCTAATATCACTTCTGTCCTTAAATTTAGCAATATATTAAAGGCATTTTAATGTTTAAATACAATTACATTAGAAGAATACAACACTGATTTCCTGATGAAGTTTATTGTAGCCGCAATGTGCATTTTTAACACTTTTAACCCTTCTAATTCTTCAATTATATTATTATTATTATTATTATTATTATTATTATTATTATTATTATTATTATTATTATTATTATTATTATTATTATTATTATTATTATTATTATTGAAAAACTTCCTGGAAGTTGCATAAGCCTAACTTCACTGATCAGAAAGTCAGGGAAATCACTCCAAAAGGTAGTAAAAACAATTACAACATAATTAACCCAAGTAATATTTTTAGTATTTGCCCCTTGGAAAGAAACTGGTTAAACATACATCAGAGAGAAAGGACACTCACCATTCATTTATGCTGTTAGCATATGACCCAGCAACCACATTTCTGAGTGCAGTTTACAAAACCAGTAAAAATATAAGACACAAACATAGAGCATATTCACACATTTAAGTTGCCCATGTACTGTGCTCATGCAAGTTTGATTAAATCATTTTAAGAAAATCCTATCCAGACCGAGACACTCTTACAATAGCTTGCAAGGTATTAATTTCAAATGATAAGCTACCACATCCTCCACTGGACAATCTCTCTGCTGCTGTGCCTTGCTATTATTCTCTCCCCCCAAAAGACCCAATTGTGAATTATTTTCCCTTCTGTGGGTGGGTCTTCTGGGGCTCACATGCACACACACACACACACACACACACACACAAATATCTACACTCTTGTATATAAGTGTATGTGAGTGTGTATTTGTGTACACGCTTATACACCAAGGCATCCGCAATGAACTATTTTAAATGGATAAGAACACTTGAGGCAGTGGTGGGATTCAGCCGGTTCGCACCACTTCGGCAGAACCGGTAGCTAATTTTTTGTTGCCCAGGCCCAGAATGGACTTCCAGAAGCGGCATCCCCACAGAGAACCGGTTGTTCACATATTTGAATCCCACCATTGACTTGAGGTGACATAAGATGGAAAAGTGTATTTCAGAGTCAAAGCAGAAAATCACACCTTGAAGTTTATTTTATGAGTCAGAAATCCATAGAGGATGGCACTGTCCATTTTTTCCTTCCTGTTTTGGCAATGGGACAACTGGGCAGTGTAGATGAGCTTAAATTAACAACCCCAGGGAAAACAAGGAAAGCCAAAATAAACCAATATTTCCAAAAAATGTAGACAGATGGGTATAATGTTACTAACCATTAAAGGTTAGTAGCATTTTTTTTCTTTTTACAACCCTGTCGTCCCTTGCATCGGGGTGGAGTCAGGGTGACTGAATGGAGCTGAGTGTTTACTGGCCAGATGTCCTTCCTGAAACCTACGCAGAGTTCACAGCAGATATTTTCTCTTTGTGCCTTGATAGAGAAACATCTGCCTCTGCCTAGGATTGAACTCTCAGCCTCCTGAGGCAGAGTCTTAACCTCTAGGCCACCGAGTTTCTCAAAGGTTAGTTCCATTGACTAATGTAGTGAAATTGATTATATAAGGATAGAATGCAAACCCTCTTCCGTTTTTGGTCATTTTATATAGCAGATTGATTTCAAAGTTGTAATGATACATCTCCATCCTATTGCCATCAATTCTTAACAGGTTCTGCTCATGCAGATGTTGCTGATGAATAGCTGTTGTGGCATAAGATCATATCCCATGAAAAGCAAAGATTTCACAAAAACAAATTAAATACACATATTGCTTACCATTTGTGGCTGCCCTAATAGACGTTCCTGGTGGTGTTGATTGGCCTAAGAAGGAGGAAAACGAAGACATGAATACATTGTAGTATGAAAAAAAAATGGTCCAGATATCTTACCAGTGGAGGCCACAAATTAGTTAAGTGAGTTTTGCCCCGTTTTACAACCTTTCTTGCCTCGTTTGTTAAGCGAACCACTGCCACTGTTACATTTTGGATGCTCACCAATGGGCCTGCATTTACAGCCATTTGCAGTGCTCTGCAGTCACATGACTGCGATTTAGTTTTGCCAGAAAATGGCATTTACTTCCAGTTACCAGCAAAAACTGCCCCAAAGCAAACAATGGTTCACTTAACAACCACCAAATTCGCTTAATGATCACTGCAAAAAAGATCATTAAAAACAGGTCTGGTCACGTGGCTTTATGACCATCATGATTTACAACTGAAATCGTAATTACAGTCTTAAATAGGGGACCACTTGCATCTCATGATTTGCTTCATTGGGTCACAATAAAACATAACTCCCAAGCTACAATCCACGGTGACTGGGCTTGCATTACACATTAAACCCAAAACAAACAAACCAAGTTATGATTTAGTATGAAGGATGAATGTCCAGCCCAATCAACTGCCCCCACAGATACCACCAGATACAAAATAAAGTAGCCACATAGAAAGACAGAGGCAGAAAGAGAATATAGGTGATACATTTATGTTTAGGGTACATATGTCCACACATGTATACAAGTAAGATTTATATACTATTCATGATGGGATAGAAAGTTTATTTGTGATGGGATAGAAAGTTTATTAATACATATATACCATTATTCAGCTGTGAAAGATACAGTGACTGGAGGACAATCATCAGGTTATTCTTTTTGCTGTCTTTGCTCATCCTTGAGTTATTTAAAAGCATTTAACAAGAAATCAGTAGATGGCACCATAACATAACAAACTCCAACAAACTCTGACAAACTCTATATGGGAGAAATCAGTTTCACTTGTAAGAAGGTAGCCATGAGCCACTCTGTCAATTGATGAGGAGACTTGCTTTTAAAAGACCAAGATGTAAAAACCCTATGGCTGTGATCATATCTAGCTGATAAATTTTATTTTACATAGTCCACAGGAGTTTAGAGAAGTTTATATGATTTGAACTTCAACATGAATATGATATTTGTAAAGAAAACAATTTGGCATGTTTTTGACAAAAAAAACTGTTTTACTGATATTAGATCATTTTAGCCCCCCCTTTTTTTTTAAAGTCAAGTTTAATATATATTTTTTAAGACCTGAACTACAAAACTCCAGGTCCAACAGCAAAAGTTTGCCACCTTATTTTTTCCAGCCGACGTGTGGTCTGCCTAGTACAAGATTCTAAATCTTTCTTAAAGAGAAGATGTTTGTCAATAACATGTCTTGAAGTAAAGGATCTTTCACACAAGATGATCTAATGGCTATAAACCCCAGAGGCCAGAAAGTAACCTTTCTGCAGTTCAGAGAAGCAATTCTTCCAAAATTGGAAGGTGTTTCAAACTTTTGAAATGTATATAAAATAAATTTCAAGGAGAGAGGGGGGGGAAGGATTGTTACTGATGTATCCCATACTGTATTATGGTATGTGCCTATATGTCAGATAGCAAGCATGCATGTAGAATGCTAATACACTGATAATAGTCTATCCAGGCAGCCCAGCATCGTGGAAGATGATTAAACTGAGTTTCCAACAATCAAATCTATTATAAAAAGAGCATCTTTTGCAAGCTTACTAAGAAGCAAATCCTTCTCTGATTACATCCCAATGAGTCTATACAGTACAACAACTATTCCCAGTCGGATGCCTTAGACATCCATACTGAAGTTATATATATGTGTGTCAACCTTAATGGGCAGATCAGACAGGAAACATGAGCTAATTCTACTTTATTGTAAAGCTACAGTAACAGAATCTTACAAGTGTGAAAGTATAACTGTCCCTCCATCTCTTTTACAGTCTGGGAAGCTAAAGAGGGTCTCTTCTGAGCCTCTTGTTCTGTCCAGTATCCAGCTGGAGGCTATGCTGTCTCTTACCTGGTCACTCCTCAGGCAGTTTTTCTTGGCCCATTCACCCGAGATCTTTTTCACCTACCATTACAATATCTGAAAGGAAATGGATGGAAGCTGGAAAGAGCTGATAAAAAGAACTCAGCTAAACATTAACTATGTTGTTGTTACATTTTGCTTTAAAAGAAGACTGTGATCAAGCTGCTAGATTCAAAGGCTGATCTTGCACAAGCCATTGTCAATCAAATGAATGTAGCAACTGGAGAGAAAACATTGGGTGACATGTCATGGAATGGTCCAGGGAACACAAGCAGTGTTCTTACATCACAAGGAGACAAAAATATGTTTGGCTTTGTCAGGAGAATCTATGAATATTGCAACTGCTTTGCAAATATTGGCTTATAACATACATTGCTAGCAAGCTCTTTCAACCTGCACAGTTCCCCAATTAACCTCCTAAGTGCAGTTGACATTAAGAAGCCTGAAAATTCTTAAAGGCTCTTCTGATGAGCACCCACCACTAGCAGAAGCTGTAAAAGAAGGGCCATGTGGAAACTGTAACAGAGATATGTTGAAAATAAAAACAGCTTTGCTAAACGTTGAGTGCAAGATCAGGTTTTGTTGAGCGGAAGTCAGATATAATCTGAATTCTAACTCAAACAACAGACCACACCTGGCCTACAATGACATGAGTTCAAGCATAATTATCTAAGAAGCAATGTCTTTTTCTATACTTTCTCCATCTGCAAAATAATCCAGTTTTCCTCCTTCTTGCTCCATTATTTTAACATGGATATATTACATCAGAGGTGCCCAACCTTTCCAGGTTGGCGGCCCAGAGGGAAAGAAAGGGGCAGGCAAGGGGCTGCGTGCACACGCGCAATGCAAACAGGGGTGCACACACGAAGCTGGGGGTGGAGCTAGTACCCATGCACCACTAGGAGTGGGCCTAGCGCCTGTGGAATGCTCAGGGTGGGCCTAGCGCCCGCATGACACTCGGGCAGGCCTAGCGCCCACATGATGCTCGGGGTGGGCCTAGCACCCATGCAATGCTCAGGGCTGCACTAGCACAAGGGGGCAGTGCATGCACACACAGGTGCATACTGGCCAGCCATTCACGCGGCCCAGTGGCCAAGAGGCCATGGCCTGGTAGTGGGCCACGGCCCAGAGGGTGGGGACCCCTGTGTTACATTATTTTAATATGCAGGGCATGGTTAAAAAGTCAAGAAGGCAGGCAGGATTGCATGATTCAGGCTCTGCCTTTTTTTTTAATGTGACACGCTACCACAGAAGCAATAGACAGTACCCTCACAGCCTCCATCTTGCCTTTTTTGACCATATCCTGGAAACTTCTGAAAATGGAAAAGAATATCTTAGCAATGATCAGGTTGCTAGAGTATCTAACTTGGAACAACGTACTTCACCAGCATCATCCTTTAGCTTACTGTATGTAATTGTATGGATAAGTTTGGAGTTTAATTGAGACAAAACCATTCCAAGTTATTAATAGAATGACCGTAAATATAAACACATGTAATAATGTCTTCACTAAAATATTAATATATTTTTAAAAACCTGTTTAGATATTTCTGCAAAGTTTGTCAGGAATGAAACTCATTAGACGACATCAATGGTTGAAATCAGCCTTCTTTAATTAACTGAGAGGAACTGGCCCAACCTAAAACTATATGGCAAGGTAAAAATAATTCTGATCTAAAGAGTTGAAAGTTGAAGTCACTCGTGACTAGGGATGGACAACCCAGCCTATTTCAGTTTCACCAAGGCTAAGTTTTTTTCCATCTTAAGTTTGGTTCAGCTTGTTTCAAGCTGCTTTTCTTTCCTCCAACTTAAATGCAAACACGATTTTTGTATGCTTCTGATGCAATTTTACGAATGTGCATATTTTCTAAGCCATGAAATTAAGCTATAATTAAACCCTTTGCTGTAATGTAAGCATCTTGTAGACATTCTTCCGTAAAATAGGTATTTTAGGTCCATTATTGCATCTTAAGAAGTAACATCACAAAATCCAGAAAATTCAGATTTGAGCATATCACTTTACTCCAGTTCAGGTTAACATTTCAGACATAAGGCCAATTTGCCTCCTAAAATGAAAATACAATTAATTTCTAATCCTTAGTTGCAATTCACTGTGTGCTTTCAAGTTCCTCTTTATCTGATCTTCAACTAACTAATTTAGAACAAATACAGCAAACAGGATAGCTGCCGCAAATGAGTCCTTAGTTACACATGTGTGGTTTCGCTATGCGTATTTCTGTTTTTCCTTTTCAGAAGCCTGTATAAAAGGAAGAGGATGTGCAGCACGTTGTGGTTTTAGAACATAAGCTCGTCTAAGTGGCGAAACAGTTTCCATAGCAGCAACAGGCTCAGAGTCTCAGCCCACTCTGAGTGCTAAACCACAACTTCTCCAGTGCAGTTGTCAAGTTTCCTGATTCTGACTCTTTGCTACAACTGGGCCTTTCTAATGATGCTCATAAATTGTGTATACTGTAGTTGTACTAAAGATAGAGTCCCTTTTCAGACTGAAATGGGTGGGAAAGACAGAGAGAGAGAGAGAGAGAGAGAGAGAGAGAGAGAGAGAGAGAGAGAGAGAGAGAGAGAGAGAGAGAGAGAGAGAGAGAGAGAGAGAGAGAGAGAGAGAGAGAGAGAGAGAGAGAGAGAGAGAGAGAGAGAGAGAGAGAGAGAGAGAGAGAGAGAGAGAGAGAGAGAGAGAGAGAGAGAGAGAGAGAGAGAG